CACACACACACACACACACACATGCCCTCTCTCTCTCTCTCTCTCTCTCTCTCTCTCTCTCTCTCTCTCTCTCTCTCTCCACCTGTGGAGATGATGCAGGTTTTCTTGTCTGCAGGGCTGACTCGCGCCATTCTTTAGGTGTCCCGTTCTTTTAACGAAGGCACAGCTCCACCGTTCTTTCAAAGGCTTACTCGTGCCGCCATGGGTAGGGCCCATTCATCTTTCTGCAGGGCTGGGTACGGCCCGTTCATTTTTCTGCGGGTGAGTTACGCCAACATGGGTGTGGGTTTGACATGTTTGTTAGGGGCCATCTGTTTTTCAGCGAGGCTGAATCCCACCGCCTTCGGTGTCGTGGCTGATTGTCTGGCCGCCGTCGTTTTCCTAGTGGGATCTTCCCAGATTTTTGGGGTTGGGGGCCATTCTTTTGGCAGTGCGGCTAAGTTGAGCCTTTGCTTTTCTTCCTGGCTAAACCGGAGCAGGCACATGTTTCACCAGCCGGTGCTGCCAGGAGCAGGCCACATTTTTTTTCCTTTTTATATACGCTCTTGGGCAGGCCCAAATCGCGATTCCTTCGAAACACCCACCCTAACTTGCATATGACAACAGTGTTTGACATACCACATCCGAAATTCAGGAAGAAACATCCAGCAGTCCAAAATGCTAACTTCCACATCAGGAAAATTCCACCACTAGATGAGAACCCATCCAACGATGCAGAATGGAAAGTGCATGTGCGTCAATCAAACAATGCGTCAAAATCACTCTTGAATTGCCTCCCAACTTTACAATCCCACCGCTGAAAACAAAAGGAAAACAAGCATTCAAATGACCGCAGCATTTATAGAAAATAGAGACTTACCTCTAGTTCTTGGAGTCCTTCTTCACCTAAATTGCTTCCGAGCAGGCACATGCGCTTCGGAGTCTTTTGCACGGTACTCTGGCACATCTGCTTTGGAGCTTTTTGCATGGTGCTCTGTGGCAGTGGGGATGGTGGCAGCAGTGATGGAAGCAGAGGTGAGATTTCTTGCAGACGTTTTTCAGCCAAATTGCTTCCCAGCGATGGCATCTGCTTTGGACTACTTTCATGATTGTGTCCTGCATTGGATGATGATGGCAGTGACAGGCTCGCAGGCGCTGGCAGTGCTGAGCTCGCAGGCGCTGGGAGTGGTGGGTTTGCAGGCGCTGGCAGTGCCATCAGCTTACCATCACTCTTTTCTGGATCACCACTCTCCAGTGTCATTGATTGAGTATTGACAGGCCTTTGAAGGGAACGCTTTGCTCTCGCTCCCCAAGTCATAGCCTGAAACAGATTCCTGCTCCTTCGTGATTCAGCAACCTTACGACCGAAAGACCGTGTAGGTTCAGAATACCTCTCAGGCAGCCTCCATTCATGCATGCAATCCTGAGTCTCGGGCACAAGAATACCCTCCTCTGAATCCGACTGTGTAGCTGGGACCTGCTCTGCTTCTCGTGTCCTCACGGCACTGACTTGGTCCTTGTCGTCGACAACAGGTCTACACGGTTCTGTCTGATCTGCAGTGGCCTCATCAGTACAGGTTCCATCAGGACGAGCTGGCACACCAGTCAGTTTGCAGGACCTCTCAGATCCACCCAATTGCACGTCCCGTAACATCCTTGGAGATGGGACAGCGGAACCTTCATTACCGTTACTATCTAGGGTGGCCAGGCCTCGTCCACTATCACCAGCACACAAGGACCTTTCCACACCTGACAACTGCGGCCGCCCGAGAGCATGTGAAGCTCCAGAGGCGAGACTGGATGCTTGCCATATGGAAGGAGTACCCCCATTCCCCTGAAGCTGGGTCCCAGAGACTGAACCAGAATCGCCTCCAACGTGCTTCTCGTCCTTGGGAGAATCCCTTGTGTTTGCTAAAAGCGGACATCTGTGCTCGCCAATCCCACTGGCGCCATCATCGATCACCCTGTCCTCACCAGGAGAAGGACAAGACAATCTATCCTGCAAACAATTCCCCTGTAACGGAACATTCGGGCCTGGGTGTATCTTCATAACCCTATCCTCAACAGGAGAAGGAGAAAACAATTTTCCCTGGGCATAATCCCCCTGCGACTGCACATTCTGACCTGGGTGTACGCTTAGCCCTTTCTTAAGTCTGGTCACGGGGCCATGAGAATCATGCTGTCCTTCTGCTACTCGCTTCCCCTTAAGAACATCCTTTTGCTCTCCATACCGCTGTCCATCACGGGTCCTTATGTAGAAGTCGTCATCATCGTCATCATCCGCACTTTCCTCATTGTCAGTTGCTTCATCGATGTCTTCCTCCCATTCCCACTGCAGTTCATCTTCGTCTTCCACCTTAGCTCTATTTCCATGCCCATGACGAACAGCATCTGCTGCAGTTGGCATTGAAGTGGCATTCCAGTGGCTTCTGTACTGTACAGGGGATGGAAGAAGCGCTGGCTTTCGACTGCTGTTTCCCTCCGGCATCTGCGCTACATTTAGAGCGCAAATAGGTGGCAATGCTGCTGCTCCTCCCACATCTAAGCCTCCAACAAGATCTTCACTGGCTGAGCTTACCTCATCAGATCCCGAGGGGTTCTCTGATGCTTCTTCTGTCCCTGAGCCTCCTGTGTGACACAATACCCTTACACCCCCTCCAGCCCCGGGAACGTCCGAAACACCACAGTCCTCTTCTTCTTCCTCGTCTTCTGCATTACGCTCTTCACATATGTGCTGGTTAGTCTCTCCGCCTTCAACTGTTTGGTGGATTGGTTGTTTGCTTTCTCCTGATTTAAAACAGACACCCACATGATTTGTATTCGTCATCAAGACCTCTGCATAAGATGACCCCACTCCCACATTGGCTGCTTCCTGCTGGGGGAACTTGATCGGGGAAGTCACAATTTTATTCCTATTCTTATTATCATTATTATTATTTAGACCAAGCATCAGAGAACCCTTCCTGCCTCGCATCGGGGAAAACAGTTTGGGAGGCGAACTTGTTTTCTGCCTACTTGACTTTGACTTCGGCGTGACGCACCGTCGCTGTACGTGACTAGCACTCTTTCTCTTCCTCCCTCTCGCTCTCACCTTCCCCTCCTCTTGGCTTCTCCCATCGTTCCAATAATGCTCTAAAGTCTCAGTGGCACCTATATATTCCACCACATCAGAGAAGGTCACTCTCTTGCCTTTTCCTTTCAATTTCTTTCCCTCACTCCTCTGCTCTCTTGTCGGAACAGCAGGCAGTGGCAGATCTTCTTCAGAACCTCCTATTGTATCTCTGTCTCCTGACGTCAAACTCTTTATTCCCCGTGCAGAAGTCGTACCTTCTTCCTGTGTGCTGTTTTCGACTACCTCTCCAAATTCTCCCTCATCCAGACATCCTTCAGCCCGCACAGGTTTCATCTCTATTTGCAGAGCGATGCCATTGTCCCATTCCGTGTCTGCACACAACGTGGCGGTCGCATCATCAGCAGAAGCCTCCCCGTCTTTTAAACGCAGAGTTTTATCAACAAAAGCAATGCCATGTCCAGCTTTGAGCATCAAAGGGCCACCGCCTTCGGCCTGGCAACTATAGGTGGAAGACATGGCTGCAAGATTCACACTCTCGGTGGGACAGTTGGAGAAGGCATAATGACGCGCAACAAGTTGGGTGGAGAAGGCATAATGGCGCGCAACAAGTTGGGTGTCTTTTGCAGAGTCTTTAACAGCATCGCCTTCTGACATCTCCTCTACCTCAGCAACTAATCTTACCAGAGCCCCATTGCCACCATCACGACCAACCTGTGCATGTCAGGAAACCTGAGCACATGTCACTTGATGATGACCTCATTACGGAGCATATTTCCAAACACAGAGGCAAGAATGTAATTGCAGATGTGATTGGTGGCTGCAAAGTGGGGGGGAGGAGAGTGGGGAAAGAGCGAGAACAAGACGACGACTGTGCAATGATGTTGATTGTTCGCTCTAGTACGTGGTTAAATGCGATGCATGGATGGGCTATCTTTTTCCCATTGTGGCTCTCAAAGTCAGAAACGGTTAAGCAAAGCTTTGAATAAACTAGGCTTATTTCTTATTTCCTTTTATCTTTTCTACAATTGTTTCGCCAGAGTTTAGAAGTTCTTTACGTGGGTTCAAACGTCCAACCCCAAACCGAGCAATCAGCAGGCCAAACAAAACTGCCTTTGTGTGATGATGATGATGATGATGATGTCTGTGTGTTGTAGACTGTCAGCAGCACAACCCCTTTCCCACCCGGATGTGTAGATCCAAATTTGAAATTGAAGTCAACCTTACTTCTGAAACGGTATTCACCAATTCGTGGTAGCTGAGGTAGATCCCAGGGCTCGATCCCTAGTTTCCCAACTTACCTGTGAAACGGTATTCACCAATTCGTGGTAGCTGAGGTAGATCCCAGGGCTCGATCCCTAGTTTCCCAACTTACCTGTGTACAATACCAGCGTCAACTCGAAGAGTTGAACCTGCGACCTGTAGAACCGCCAGTGGTAGGTAGGTCTGTCGTAGGTCTATAGGTAGCCAGGATTCGATCCGTAGACCTATAGACYAGAAGGCTAGCTGCAGTCCTTCTAGAAGGTAGGCAAGTGGTCAAGTGGTGCAGGCAAGTGGTCAAGTGGTGCAGGCAAGTGGTCAAGTGGTGCAGGCGAGTGGTCAAGTGGTGCAGGTAAGTGGGCAAGTGGTGTGACTAAAGCAAGCCCATGTTGGAGAGAGTCTAGAAAGTATCAGTCCGGTCCAGCAAGTACCACGGGGGGAACTGTGTGCACCATGGGCCAGGGACACAAGGCAGACCAACGCAGCACAAAAGTATAAATCAAGAGGCTGCGTCCATTCATTCATTCATTCCTGCGGATGTCATGCGGAAGCACTGCCTAGCAGCTTGTGCGAGGAGGTCTGCAGAGTGCCCGAAGACGAAGTGGGCAGAGGAGTAGAGTGCAGCGATAGGTAGTGGCAGCTAGCGCTGCCATAGCTGTAGCCTAGCATGTGTGTGTGTGAAGTGTGATACTGAGTGTTGCGTGTGGGACATCCAGGGTGATCCAGAGTGCGAACAGTGAGTTGTGTGGGCGCTCAGTCGCCATAGCCAGTTTGAAGAGAACTCTTATGTGGATACGATATCTTGAGTACTGAGTGGGCGCCTGTTGCCAATTTGCTGTTTCGCTGTTTGCATACATGACAAGTTGAATAATCAGTGTGATTTCACTGGTATTGGAGCTGGTACCCGCTGTTCCATGCGCCGTCGTGTGCAGGCGCCATAGCTGAGGTGGCCGCTGGAGGAGGAAGTCCGCCATAGCGGACCTTCGGTGGAAGAAGCCGCTGCGCACCTGCATCAAGAAGAAGACGAGAG